GCCCGGTGCGCGTGCCCGCGGGGACAGTGCAGTCGGCTCCGCGCGCCTCCGCCCAACCCTCTGGGACTCTCGGAGGGCGTCAGGGAGGCTTCCATCCCGGGGATCCCTTCCCCCGACACACACACCTCTGTGACTTGAGTTTGTGCCCTTTCTCCGGCGCACCCGCCTTAGACTTGGGGATGCAATTGAGGCCAGGACTGCTTATTTCCAGGGAATGCGCAGCGCATCTCCTTCCCCGCCAGTGAATTACTGTAATAGCTTCAGACCCGGTTACCTCGGAGGTAAAATCCCTCACGTTCTCACAGTTTAGCGTTCACAAAACCTTGAGGTTTGCACGATCTCTTTTGATTCTTTGAGCATCCCTGTGAGATGGGCCTCACGTGGCACAGACCACTGTCCCCGTTTTAAAGATGAGGAAATCGAGTTTCAAAGGTAAGAAGAGATTTGCCCAGAGTCACTGTGAGTTGGTGACAGAGTCTGGATTTGGACCTGGGTCTTCTACTGGACCGGTCAGTGCTTTTTTAGTACGTCCTGCTATCTCAGAAACGGAGGGAGAAAATCCCGGACTCTCAGTCTTTTGCTTCCACCCAAAGCCAAGCCAGAGGCCAGCAAGAGGTTTGGAGAAGTGATGAGCCCCCACCGGGATGCCTGCCGCTTTGGAAACCTTAGTGGCTTCAGGCACAGAGCCAAGTGAGATGGCTGAAGGTGTCTGCCCTGGTTTGCTATGACCCAGAGCACAGCCCTCGATGGACAAACTTCAGGCCTTCTCCAAAGTCACAGGTTCGATCATTTGCAACAGAAATTGGATCTGAGAATTAGGTTGCATCTCAGATCCCCATTCCCTCCCAGCCCCAGAAGCAGAAGATTCAGAAATGCCTGTCTAGTTTGAATTTAAGGTCAGAGAAGAGAAACAGTTGAAATGGCCCTCATCTGCCCCACCAAGTCCCCTGGGAAGGTGATCACCAGTGGTTGGAGAAGCTTCCACTGACCACACTCATCCTAAATTTCTTCTTTTGTCTCTTGGAGGGCACGCAGCAGTCTGTGAGCGCTAAGCATTTGTTTCAGGCAAATTCTGAGGCTTCTCTTAGTGTTTGGCTCAGAACCACCTCTGACGCTGCTGTTCCTTTCTTCTCTGCCCCATGGGGTTTCCAAACAATGACCTGGCAATTAATATTGTCTGAGCAGGTAAGGAGTAGGAAGAGGAGGAGAAACCTTCTCATTAAAGTGCTGGGGGCTGCTAATCCCATCTGTTATTGAAGAGGCATCCTTAGAAGCCAGCTCCTTGTAGCTTTTCTCATTCAAACCTTGCTGCCCCTCCCAGAGGTGGTCACTGTATTCCCTGCGGACTTTAAAGCCCTGCCGAAATTCAAGCCAGCTTCAGTCCTAAACTGGAGATGGATTGTGCTTTTAAAGCTCAGGAAAGGAAGTGCCTCTCCCAAGCCCACTGGACCACCTCCCACGAAACGGACTGCACACCATGTGAAAAACCCAAAGAAAAGATGGCCCTGAAACTAAAAAGTGGTGCCCAAGAACCTGGACTGCAAATCACAGAGTCTTCCTGAAATACAGATAGGGTACTTTGTTTTCTGTTTTGATAACGCTTTCTCACCCAGTTCTCGATTTTTTTTCTAATCTTTTTTGTTTCTCCCCCTTCACCCTTTTGATCCTAGTCGCTACTTCTACCTTTTCCCACCATGTTTACTTTTTTTTTTTTTTTTTTTTTTTTTTTTTTTGAGATAGAGTCTTGCTCTGTCACCCAGGCTGGAGTGCAGTGGCGCGATCTCAGCTGACTGTGCAACTTCTGCCTCCTGGGTTCAAGCAATTCTCCTGCCTCCGCCTCCCGAGTAGCTGGGATTACAGGTGCACGCCACTGTGCCTGGCTAATTTTTGTATTATTACTAGAGACAGGTTTTCAACATGTTGGCCAGGCTGGTCTCAAACTCATGATCTCAAGTGATTTGCCCACCTCAGGCTCCCAAAGTGCTGAGATTACAGGCATGAGCCATTGTGCCTGGCTCATGTTTACATTTTTAAATGCTAAGGTTCTTCAGGGTAGTTAGTAAAGGTTTCCTTAAGTTAGCCCCAGATGGCAGTATGTGGCTTCCCACTGTCCCTCTTATTCATTCTCCTGTAAGAAACCTTGAGACTCTTTATTTTCACAGGATGGTGGGCATTCCAGGGGCTACCCTATACCTTGAACCAGAGGGTCAAGGGAGGCCCAGACAGCCAAGAGTAACCCAAACCTGGATCATTTCCATTGTACTCCATAGATTACCTCAAAAAATTTTGTTTAAATGATGTGAATCATCTTTCCCTTGAGGTTCACAGATGTTAAATATAGGAAAGGAGCCGAAAAAGGAAGAAGCAACAAATTGGAGAAAAAGCCAAGAACGGTAGAGGCCATATTCCTTAAACCTGTAAATCTTTACAAACTCCTTCTTTTAGTGATTTTCTATTTTGCTTGCCCCTTATTTTTCTTTTTTTTTTTTTCTTGGGGCGGGGGGGACCGGGTCTCGCGCTGTTGCCCAGGCTAAAGTGCATTGGCGGGATCTCAGTTCACTGCAGCCTTCACCTCCCGAGTTTAAGCGATTCTTATGCCTCAGCCTCCTGAGTAACTGGCGAGTTGCTGGGATTACAGGTGCATGCCACCACGCCCGACTAACGTTTTGTTTTGTTTTAGACAGAGTCTTGCTCTGTCTCTCACACTGGAGTGCAATGGCACGATCTTGGCTCACTGCAACCTCCGCCTTTTGAGTTTAAGCAATTCTTCTGCCTCAGCCTCCCCAATAGCTTGGATGACAGGCACACACCACCATGCCTGGCTAATTTTTGTATTTTTAGTAGAGACGGAGTTTCACCAAGTTGGCCAGGCTGGTCTTGAACTCCTGACCTCAGGTGTTCCACCCGCCTTGGCCTCCCAAAGTCCTGGGATTACAGATGTGAGCCACCGCGCCCGGCCTGCACACTTGTTTTTGACTCTCCATGTCCCTGCCGAGTTTCTGCATCTCCATAGCTTCAGTGAACATGTGTCCCTCAGCGGCCACCCATCTCCATTTTCCTTGCCCATTAAGCTCAAGCACCCACCAGTGGCAGGGAGCATGTCCTAAGATGAGGGAGTCGATGTTTTTTAACTTTGGTTTGGGGTCAGGTGGGAAGGCTATATTTTCAACGCAGTTTTCACAAGTTAGTCTATGAGGTGTTTTTTGTTTGTTTGTTTGTTTGTTTTTTAGGAATGCTTGCTGTGCTTGGCAGCCAGAGTTCAAAGCTCTGGTGGGAAATGGTAAACGCTAGCCTTTAATTGTAAATGACCTCTCCAGCACCAAGGGACGTAGAGTCCGGTAAACAAACGACGGACTCTGCTATCTGTGGCTTCCTTCTAAAATCTAGTGCCTGCCCTCTCCCATCTTATAGACCAATTTGAGATGAAGAAGCACATCTTGGGGCAGGTGGCTGAGGTACTGGGAAAAGGGGTTACCCACAGGCTGTCTGGCAGATGAGGTTTCCCTGTTTGTCATCAAACTGTCTTATGAAGCTGTCTCTTTGGCATATATATCCTGCCCTGGGGGCTGGCTCAAAATGCAGGGTTTTACCTGGAGAATTTCAATTGCATTTTACTTCAGGAACATAAGATTTTATCTAAAATGCTTTAACACGGCTCATAATATTGCCTGCCCCCACCCACCCCCCCACACTCCCTCTGCATAAACTGCAAATTCTTTCCATTGTTAACACTATTCATGGCACGCAGCGGCTCTTCAAGGCTGTGCTGGAATTATAGGCACCTTTGTTTGTGGAATACCTTGGGAAGCTTGGCACCATTGATTTGCATCAGTGCCTCCGGAATAGCCTTTGCCTCCTCCTTAAAGATACTATCTAAACTGTGAAATTCATTAAATAGCCCCAGAAATGGATCAGGTTATTTAACACAACATCCCTAATGGTGCAATATCTCAGCTGTCTGCACTGATAGTGAACATTGTCTTGGATAGTGTTATCAGCCCAGGACACCCGCTATGAATATTGATCCTGAGCTTGTTACAGGCATCACTTGCCATCAGGACAGGTCAGGGTTGGAACCCACCTAGCATCAAAGCAATTTAAAGACAGCACTCAGGCAGAATTTTAATACCCAGGCTGAAGAAAAAAAAAAATCAACTCCATGCACAGAGGGAGGGCTTGCTGGATCTGGGTATATTTTATAGAAATACCGTGGGTATAAATACACATGTGAGGATGTTAGCGAGCCAAACACATGGCCAAATTGTACTGAAAGGGATGCTCATTGCCTCCTGGTCTTTTACAAAACAGGTGGCCAGAAAAAAAAATTACCTAGGACCTCCTCCTCCACTGTTCCCCATGTTGAAGAATGTATCCTGTTCTTTGGGTAGCAGGTTTCTCTTTAAGTTGGATGAGTAAGAGAGGACATTTCTATCCCGCCGGTGTTGATGGGAGACCCAGTGGAGTTTCTTGTGTGCCATCTATTGCCTGCAGCCAAGTACTAAGCATGAGCATTCACATTACCTCGTGCTACAATGAACACACAGATCAGAAATATCTGGCCAGGCACAGTGGCTCATGCCTGTAATCCCAGCACTTTGGGAGGCCAAGGAGGGCAGATCACTTGAGGCCAGGAGTTCAAGACCAGCCTGGTAAAC